ATTTTCACATATATACAATTATTTTATAATAATAAAAAATAATAATAATCTATTTATATTTTTTATTAAATACTCCGTAGTGAATTTATTTTAAAAATCTGATTTAAATTTTATTATGGCCAGACTATTATTCAAGTTTTATTTTTTTTGCAAATAAATATAAAAACATTAGCAAACCTTTGAAATACTATTTTGTTATGATTCGTTTTCTTTACCTTGTGAAATATTAACAAAATTTCATAAGCATTTCTTGCATTTAAGTATGCATTTTTTGTTTTTATATTTCTTTATTTAATGCATTTTTGGTTCTTTTTAAATAAAGGGTTCTGTTAAATTTTAAAATAAAACTAGGTACGTATGTATTCATCTCTATTTATACCGAAACAGATACTAACCCATCCCAAATTCATATTTTGAGTTCAGGATGGATAAAACTTAAAATCTCATACCGAATTGATATAATTAATACACTACTATTACGCGATGAATGCCACACCATGCTTTCTCCTATATATACATATATCTCTTACTTCATGTCTTGAAATGATTTATGTTCTTACTATTTGAGTCTCTCAATAACTTTTATTTATTTGTTAGTACGTAGAATTTTGATATGTTCCGTGGTTTTTAAATATGTAATTTGTATTCTTATTTATATATAAATATATAGATACAATTAATTTTAAAAAAATAATTTCTACATGTTGGTCAAACATTGTAAATGAATTTAGGAAAAATGGATCAATAAAGTAATTAGTAGATAAAATACATTGATTTTCTTTCCTCTATTTTAGGAGTACGCACGTAATACATATGGATGTCGGGCATTTCTCGTACATTCGAATGAATAAATTATCGAATAACTAAATACTACTTTTTGAATAATAAAGTACTCATTTTTGAGTATCTGAATTCTTAATTTTGAGCATAAATGATTTTTAAAGAAATGGGTACTCAATTATTCGAGAACGAATATTCACTTGTCTAAAAATGAATATTCATATACTCGTAAACACTCGCCGCAGATATATAAAAATACCGTATAACTAGTGGTAGAGTGCATTATTTTAGTAGGATATCCAAACAATACGAGGGAACATATTTTTATTTTGTGAAATAGTTTTGTTCAATTAGGGATAGCGGAAAGGAATGGGAAAGAATTGCGCGGGAAATCTGTTGTCTTCTTCTCGGAGATGAGGGTTTTTCTCTACTATCATCTTTAACCTTTCAATCCCAAACACATCAGTTATTGCCCATTGAGGTTTCTACTCCCCAATCATAGTTATGAACGGAATCGGAGGCGATAGCCGGTGGCGTGAGCGGAGAGACACGAGAATTTCAAAGAAACAGAAGCTCATTCTAAACGCCGAGGAGCTACTTGAGTCAAAGCTAGGATTCGATCTCTTCACCGCAGGTGATAAGAGACTAGGATGGCTCCTCACTTTCGCTTCAGTATGTCCCGCGTTTCCAAATTTAGCCATCAAACTTGGCCTTCTTGCTTGTATTTTGCTGAAACCATTATTGATTTTGCTGTTGACATTTGTAGTCGTCTTGGGAGGATCAGGAGACTCATAAAGTTTACAGTTGTGTAGACCTTTACTTCGTTTGTCAGGTAATGTGAGGGTGGGGGAGTGAAAAAAAAACAATTCCCTTATTTGATGCTGAGAAATTTAAATGTTAAAGTTTACATTTATTTCCTGAAATTTTCATATGCTTGAAGGATGGTTCGACTTTTAAAGCCAAGTACAAATTTCGGCCTTATTTTTATGTTGCTACCAAGGTCAGTAATGCATTCATCAGATCTATTCATACGTAAAATATTGGGATCTGTGATGAAGACTCGACATCATAGATGAATCCCTTATTTCAGAGTAAAATGGAAACGGAAGTTGAGGCATATTTGAGAAGGCGGTTTGAAACTCAAATTGCGGATATTGAAATTACTGAGAAAGAGGATCTTGATCTTGTAAGCTCTGGTCTTCATTTCTCATTATTAAAATGCATGAAAGACATTCTTTAAATGTAACCATACTTTGCTACTCAAATAATGTAACCTAATACATTATTTCCATATTCTAGAAAAACCACCTGTCCGGCTTACAGAGATCTTATTTGAAGATATCTTTTCATACTGTCCAACAATTGATGCACGTCAGGAGTGACCTGATGCAAATAGTTGAAAGGAACCAAACAAAGTTTGATACTGTAGAAGCATATCAGTCTATCTTGACAGGAACGAGGTCGTACCTGAGTACCTTTTATTACTTTTCTCTTGATCATACAGCCGTGCTTGCATATGTTTTCGGTCAAGCACAATTTGCAACTCCATTGATGTGATTATTTTTGTACCTTTTTCCCAAAGCCTATGATGTGTAAATATTTGTGAATATCAGCTTTGGAGCATGAAATGCAGTTCATTTCTTTTGATAGCACATCAGATCTCATTATCTAATAAATCTCAACTGCAGTAAGCGTGGAATTCAAGATTATCTTGATTGTATAAATGATCTCCGCGAGTACGACGTACCTTATCATGTTCGCTTTGCCATTGACAATGGTAATCTTCTATCTTTTTGTTTAGAATGCACATGCACCTCATTTTATCAATCCTTGTATTCTTCACCAAATCTTTATGCTTTTGACACTAACTCGCAGTTCTCTTATCAGATGTTAGATGTGGGCAGTGGTATGATGTCAGTGTATGCAGTTCTGGGGTTATGTTGGAAAGGAGGGCAGATCTCTTGCAACGTGCTGAAGTTCATGTCTGTGCATTTGATATTGAAACAACCAAGCTTCCTTTGAAATTCCCTGATGCCGAATATGACTCAATAATGATGATTTCATACATGGTTGATGGCCAAGGATATCTTATTATCAATAGAGAGGTGTTTATTGTTGTGTTAATTTTATACTTTTTCTACAGTGCAGTTCTATATTTCGTGAAATTATTCCACTTTACCACCCTAGTCAGGGATGTGATGGCTCATTATTGCATCAACCCTGATGTATCTCATTGTTATCACACTATTTGTAAATTTTTAAAGAGCTTCACCGATACCTGGTCCAGTTTAATGATCATTTATTTCATTTATTCCCTATTACTTGGCAAAAGATTTGTTGATAGGAGATTAAGAATGAACTTCCTTTTATATTACCTGCAACACATATGATGAAGACTTCTAGTTATTTTGTGTGTGAAAGATCTGTATGATCTCACTGTTTATAAGGACTGTTTTCTTTCGAGTGCAATTCATACTGTTGTATATATGGCGAGTTTACACTGTTGCTTAGTAAATTGCTTTCAGGGCCCAGGTCAGTTTTAGACAACGAACTAGTTAATAGAAAGGGTTGACCTCCATGCTATATTTGCTCTATCCGTATAATCTAGTTTCAGCTGTCTCTGTGTTCTTTGCTTTACTTTTATTCAATTAACTCTATTGGACACATTATATTTAATTGGTGATATTGTTCTTATTTCGTCTCGGTGGGTGCATTAATTTTACAAAATAATTTATCACTTGAGTTGTGTAATAAACATATATGTATTACTCAGAAAAGTGTTACAGTTTAAATGCTTGTTGCCTTCGCTTGCAGTGTGTTGGGGAAAATATTGAAGATCTAGAGTATACCCCTAAACCAGAATACGAAGGGTGCTTCAAAGTTACAAATGTGAAAGATGAGGTAAAATAACTTATATGGTTTTGACATGTCGGCAATTTAGTCAAACTTTTTTACTTTTTTAACAATTTCAAATTCCTTTATACCAATGACAAAATTGTGATTATGTTGCAGGAAGAGCTTCTGAGAACCTGGTTTAGCCATATGCAAGTTATGAAGCCTGGCATATATGTAACCTACAATGGAGACTTCTTTGATTGGCCATTTCTTGAAACAAGGGCAACTCATCATGGCTTTAATATGAAAAATGTATGTATGCTCATTAGCGGTCTGTTTTCTTAGGTTGGATATTGTTTTATGAACATCTATGCTTATAATATTCAAGGTGCTCCCTGTAACTTTCCAATGCATGTCCGTTCTTGCGAGTAAAGAAAATTGAATAGGAAGTTGGACAATCTTTATCATAGTATCATACCAACTCTTTTCATCATCTTCAATGTTTTTACCTCCCTAAAACATCTCCATTTTGTAGGAGCTTGGATTTCAATGTGACAATAATCAAGGGGAATGCCGTGCTAAATTTGCTTGCCATTTGGATTGTTTTGCTTGGGTAAAACGTGATAGTTATCTTCCACAAGGAAGTCAAGGTCTAAAGGTGCAATTTTCATGGTTCATTGGTTCTTTGTTAATTTGCATATTATAAGATCCATCTTATTGCTTATATCCATCAAAATTTCAATTGCAATCCTTATTAGTCTAAGCTTTCAATGTGTTTTTTAAATATAGAAGATTTAATACATCAACAAACTGAGTCAATTATCTACTCTGTTTGGTGAGGAGGGAGGGAGGGGGGGAGGGACTCAAGATGTGGCATTTACCTCTTTAAAAATCATAGAGTCTATTTCATTAGACTTCGTATCATTGCATTTATTACCCAAAACTTTATGAGAAGTGAGAAGCAAGATAGAATGGCCCCTCAAAGAGGAAATAGTACTATAAATACGTTATTACTTTATTTTTGCTGGAACAATTTCCATCTATTCCTATACTTGGTCACTTCATATAGGTTTATTCATTGCACGGGGCCAGTTCATGTGACATTAGAGTTTAATGTCATTTCAAAAAATTGGTGGTTTCTAGCCCCCTAAACTCCCTACCCCTTGGTCCCCCTTCGCCGATTGGCTACAATGGTCATCGTAGCCAATCAGTGAGGGGGGGGGGGGTAGGAACCATCAATTTTTTGCCTGGAGCAGCGTAGGTGCCCCGAGTCATGCTATGACATTGAACTCCAATGCCACATAAACCGTGGTGTCTGTAGGAAAATAATAGGAAGAACAAATCAAATGCAGAATAGAGTTCTGATTTTTTTTATTGTGAATTCTATGTTCCTGGATTATTTATAGACATCAACCAACACAACTTTTGGTACTAATCAACACATCTATTACTAACTAATACAACTTCTAGAAATAACTACCTTTAACCTCCAGAAATAACTACCCATAACTGTCCCTTTTATTTTTAAAATTTAAATCTAAACTAATAACTTATGACTAGGAATTAAACAATACGATTAAATCTAACAATCACCCCCTAATCGTTGTTTGTTCACACCAATCTTCACAATAATGTTGGTTCATCATCATCTTCAATCAAATTTGCAATGTCTTCCTTTTGATCCCATTTTGGACAGCCGTTCAAAAAATGTCCTAACTTATTGCACTTGAAACACTTAATGTGACTCTTATCCCGCTGAAGCCGACCGCAAACCTGACCTTTCCCGGACCCCGACCTCTACCTCGGTCACGTCCAAAGTCTTCTTGGTTTGAGCTCCAGCAACCACAATGCTCACATTTCTGCTCCTGAACCTTCTCTTTTCCATCACCTTTAGTGAATAATAGTTTACCATGTGTATCTTTTCCATCATCTCCGATGGAGCCAAATTTCACCATTTTTTGGCTTTGGGGTGTGATGGAATAAATCAAAATGGATCTCTAAACTATCTGCGCTTCTTTAATTAATGAAGTAGCAATTAGTCAAACAATGCAACTTTCGACGTTGAGCCGGGGGTCTCTTTGGAAACAGCCTCTCTACTTTCGAGTAGGGGCAAGGTCTGCGTACACACACCCTCCCCAGACCCTACTCTTGTGGGATTTAACTGGGTTGTTGTTGTTGTTGTTTAGTTTACCATGTGTATCTCCTTCCTCAATTGGCTTTCTGATGCGTTCCTCGAATGCTTTCAATCTGCCCACCGCTTCTTGAAACGGCATTGTGTTAATGTCAGCAAACTGTTCAATTGCAGCAACGATTTGTATGAACTTTTCACGCACAGAACCCAAAAGCTTTCGAACCAATCTTTTGTCTTCAAATGCAGACCCAAGGTTGTTTGCTTGTGTTGCAAGTTGACTAATTTTACCAGCAAAATCATCAAGTGACTCATTGTTCTTCATCTTTAGAGTCTCAAAATCTGATTCAAGTGTCTGTAATCACGCCGCTTTAACCCTGTCAACACCAACGAAGCGAGTCTTCAAAGCATCCAAAATTTCTTTTGCTTCCGTAAACTGAGCAACTTGTTGTACGATCTCTTCTGGCAAAGCTTGAAACANCTTCCCGGGTTGTAAGCCACCTGCAATCAACCACCAACCAGAAAACAAGCCCCTGCTTTTCTGTCTTCCAAGCCACTAAACAAAAGCTACCCCGCTGATTTGTTTTTCCCGCACTGTTTGGTTGGAATGCTTCTGCCAAAGGAAAAAACTAGCCACTTGCTATTCTTGTCCTAGGCGAGGAAGAATCTTGTCGAAGATTTTGATCTGTTGTCAAGGCATATCTCCCTTTTCTTGCCGCTGATCGCACACGCTCTGATACCAAATTGTAGGAAAATAATAGGAAGAACAAATCAAATGCAGAATAGAGTTCTGATTTTTTTATTGTGAACTACATACAGGAATTCTATGTTCCCGGATTATTTATAGACATCAACCAACACAACTTTTGGTACTAATCCACACATCTATTACTAACTAATACAACTTCTAGAAATAACTACCTTTAACCTCCAGAAATAACTACCCATAACTGTCCCTTTTATTTTTAAAATTTAAATCTAAACTAATAACTTATGACTAGGAATTAAACAATACGATTAAATCTAACCGTGTCCACTGCTATTGAGGAAGAATATATGTTGCACTTTTCTCCTAATAAAGTGTTTCCTTTTGATCAAACTGATGTGTTGAGTCTAGTACCTTAATATGGAAAATTATACTTACAATTCATTATGATCTAACTTCTACCAAGTACCAACATTATTCTTATTGTCTTAATAAGATATGGCAACACTAACAACATTATTTTATTGCAATGCACGACAAAAATTACTAAATAGCTCATGTGCTTTGTCCACTTCTTCTAAAAGCTATATTGCTATGCTTAATTTGATGAGCTTATTGTGTAGACAATGAAGAAGGTTTCTAAATGATTAACATGTAATAGAATCAACTTTTTTTATGTTGCATGTTTGTGCTTTCATAATGTGATTGTAATTAAGATGTGATGAATGTGTTCTCAACATTCTTCATACCTTTAAAGTTCAAACTGGATGTACAATTGTACATGCTCCTTTTGTCCCATGTTATCAGTCATGTCTACTATTCATTATTAAAACATGTTTTTCTTCCTTTTCTGGTTTTCTTTCAAATCTACTTATTTTTTTTTATTTTTTTTGGTATTTGACAACACTCTTCCTTTACTTTTTAATCTATAAATTATACTCCCTTCGTCTCAAAATGTTGAGCCTCTACGAAAAGTTGTGCCAAACTTTGATAGTTAACTTCCCTTAAAAAGTACATTGTCAAAAATCATAACATTGAATTATATGATCAAGTTTACAAAATTTGAACAAAAAAATTCAAATGGATTTTTTGGAAACACGTGTAGTATAACTTTAATTTATGACTTGTTGCCTAAGTGTTGCCTAGGCGGTTGCTTAGTCGACTAGGCGGCCTGTAGTGCATTGTTTCCGCGCCTCAACTTGGTGTTAGGACTACACGTACCCTCGCCCCAACCCCGTATTAGTGTGATATTTTCTGCTCTGGGTCAAGCCCTCATGTATTTATTTTTGAACACCTCCCAAAATGCCTCATACTAATGGGGTTGGGTAACCATATTTATTTAGGTCATTCTTGTTTCACCACTTCCGATGTGGGATGGAGTTTGCACCTCAACAAACTTCCCCTCAAACCCAGACCAAACAATCTCGTGACCTCCCCGTCAGCGATTATTCGTTTGATTTGCACTTGCACCACTGCTACACACTTGCGGGACACGCTGTCCGGGAAGACTTTCGACACAAAGTAAATTGCAGACCACTAATCTGCTATGGTCACACCATTTGATCTGCTAAAATCATCTTGTATCGCTGTTACTACCAAATTGGACACGACGCTCGACCACCACCTTGTCAGGAAGATTTTCAAAACAAGGCAACGCCTCTAGGCACACCGAGAACTCCGCACAACAGAGTCTGCCACTCCTGCCTGCACGAACCTGGGCTCTGAAAGCACATGTTAGGATTGCGTGTACCCTTGCCCCAACCCCGTATTAGTACGCTATTGTCCGCTCTGGGCCAAGTCCTCACAATTTTATTTTTGAGCACCTCCCAAAAGGCCTCATACTAATAGAGTTGGGTAACCACATTTATTTAGGTCATTCTTGTTCTCTACTTCCGATGTGGGATGGAGTTTACACCTTAACACTTGGCACCTTGATAACTATGTTGAAAATCATTCATTTGTATGTTAAGGGTTTGCATGCAAGATTGCATCGACGGTGGGTTGTCGCTGGGAGAGAGGGTTGAAAACTGAGTTGCTGGTTGATCAATGGTGGTGGAGTATTGGTTCTCACCTTTGGAAAATAAACCCCAGGGCTTGGCCTTGCTTAAGACACCTCAAGAATAAAACTTCAGAATAATATTTTATTCAAACTAATAGTCTATAAATAGAGATCACATTATCCTAACTTGCAAAAAGAAAACTTAATAAGAAACTAACCCCAAACCTAACTTGGAAACAAATTAATTTAAAAGTAATTAAATATATAAGGAATATATTGATAATTAAATAATTAACTACGGTTTTAGGCAGTTGCCATCTTTCAACGTCACTTGTGCATGCAACCCACAAAAACTTCCTCAACACCATCATTGTCATCAACACATTAATCCCAAGTATGTTGGGGGTGTGATATATAGTTTCAACTAATTCTCTAAAATATCTAACACTATACATTCATGCAAAAAAGCATAGTGACGGAGTTTTATCTGGATACCGTTCGTGTTGCAATGTTCTTAGTTCTTACAAAAGAATATTGAGATGAAGTTTCAAAACATTTATCTTTGTTGACCTTTTCACTTGCATGGAAAATAATTGTGTAACAATGATGTGATATGATAGTTATATGTTCCTCAAGATTGATATTATAAAGTCAACATGCAAATCATGGAACATGACATTTTTCAGTACAATACTTAATTTCTTAACTTAATCTTTTCACATGACAGGCTGTCACAAAGGCCAAGCTAGGGTATGATCCACTTGAGGTCAATCCGGAGGATATGGTTCGCTTTGCAAGGGAAAGGCCACAGGTACGAGCTAAAATAGCGACTAGACTAGCAAGATTTGTTTACTTTGTCGTACTGTCAGTATTATGGGCCCTTTGGGACTTTGGGCACATTGTGGATCAAATGGGCTGTACACTGGAAATGTTTATTTAAGGAATTCATTGCTATCTTTACAATATGTTTTTGAAATATTGTTTTAATTTTCTTTTATTCTCTATTTGAATGGTTTTCAGATGATGGCTTCTTATTCAGTTTCTGATGCTGTTGCGACTTATTATTTGTATATGACTTATGTACATCCGTTCATTTTCTCTCTTGCAACTATAATTCCAATGCCACCAGATGAGGTATTGCGTAAGGGAAGTGGTACACTCTGTGAGATGCTCCTTATGGTCCAGGTAGGTTTCTGTACACTGATTTCTTACGATGACATTTTCTTATTTTTTTCTGAGCATTCCACTGATTTTGTAATTTAGTTCCCTGGTTGATGTCTTTTCATTACCTTTTGTGGCTTTAAAAATGGATAAAAACAATATTAGATACAAACATATACAGAGTGATATATTTCTCTTTCTTTAAGCCATTGGTGATCTTCTCCAGCAAAAGGAAATTCCAACTCTATTCATCCCGTTGTCATGTATCATCTGTGCTAACTGCCTAATACACTGGTACTATTGCCTGTCATATTTGTAGGCCTACAAGGCAAATGTTATCTGCCCAAATAAACACCAAACGGATCCAGAGAAATTCTACCACAATCAACTTATTGAGAGTGAGACATACATAGGTGGTCACGTGGAATGCCTGGAAAGTGGTGTTTTTAGATCCGACCTTCCAACTAGTTTTAAACTCAATCCATCTGCTTATGAGGTGAGCTGCATTGTATAAATTATCAAAGCTAAATTTATTTTTCATCAATATAGAGGTGATAGGCTGTACTCCAGTCTCCATACCACTTATCTTCCATCTAAGCACCAGATCTAACAGAATACTTTAAATGCACAAGTCTCTAGCCATGAAAACTTGCATGCTCTGAGCCATTCATTTACAGTATCATTTCTATCCTGGAGAGTTATTCCATAGAAATTCATGGCAACTTCTTTGCTGCCATAGTTGCAAATTTTCCTTTTGGGGTTACCAACATGTTGTGGAATTTTCCTTTTGGCTCTGGGGTGTGATGGAATAAAGCAAAATAGATCTCTAAACTGTATACGCTTCTTTAATTAATGAAGTAGCTCAGTGCAACTTTTGACGCTGAGCTGGGGGTCTCTTTGGAAACAACCTCTCTATTTTCGAGAAGATGTAAGGTCTGCGTACAAACACCCTCCCTAGACCTTACTCTTGTGGGATTCAACTGGGTTGTTGTTGTTGGATTCATCAATTTGGCTACATATGCTTCACTTAAACCAAAAAAATGGGTGCTTCTCTTAATGGACTACTTTTAAGTTTTAGAAGAATGTTCTTTTTGTTTGTAGCAACTGTTGAACAATCTTGAACGGGATCTACAGTATGCCATTAAAGTAGAGGGGAAAATGGACCTGGAAAATGTAACAAACTACAACGAAGTGAAGGAAGCAATCACCGAAAAGGTAACATCTCTGAATTATAAAGCCAAAGGGAAATATGCAGTACTACTCTTTCTTATTCTATTGACACACACAATGACGGTGAGGGGATGGAGGGTTACATACTTTTTCATAGAAAGGGCGGGGGTGGGGGGTGGGATAGTACTAAACACATATACTTTTTCCGCTCCATGAAGATTTCCTTGTTTGACTTTTACGGAGTTCAAGAAAATTGTTGAAAAGTAATAATTGTGTGTGGATGGAATTTCTTTAGATGAGAGAAATTTTGTAAGCCACATGTTTGTTTTTTTAAAAGGAACTAAAGTAGGAATTTATTTGGAACATCCAAAATTGAAAGTATGAAGTTTCATGTAGGACGTAGGTAGTATATAGAGATTTACTCGCTTCATTTACATGTACATGCATGGATAAAGATAGATGGAGCGATTGAGCATCCATCCCTGCTCGAACTTACTTTCTAAATATGAGCTATAGCACGGGGTAGATGATGGCATAATTTTCTTTTTCCCACCATTCCTGCAGCTTAAGAAATTGCGAGATGAACCTATACGAGAAGAAACCCCTCTTATATACCATCTTGATGTCGCAGCTATGTATCCAAACATCATATTGACAAATAGGCTTCAGGTACACAGATCAAACAATATCGCTGAACTGCCATTTTTGTTCTTGCTTTATGCATTGTCTTTTGTGTGTCTGTGTGCGTGCAGTGTAATTACTTTTCTAGACAAAAGATGCATATCATTAGGTAAATATTCCAGCATGGAAAAGTGAAATTAAATAGAAGACAAAGCTCAAGAAGTGCAGTGGTCTGTTGTGTAGCCTTATAAACTTGGATGCCTAATTTCTTGTCTCTTTGAAATGAAACAGAACAGAATTCAAGAAGTGCAGTGGTCTATTCTGTAGAATTTTAACCCTGGATACCCAGTGGCGGATCCAGGATTTGGAGCGACTGGGGGCAAGAGTAATACGAAAGTTCGAGGGTAGCGCCCCCGTTTTTTAAAATCAAAGTAATTTTTTTTAAAAAAATATTTTTTTAATAAAACATTCAAATGATTAATGAAAAATCTCAAAAGTACTCTCTATAATTTTACTTTCACTTGTAATTTTTATTTTCGAATTATCTTCTAGTTAATATTATAGTTTAATTTTCATTTTGTAATTCTTTTATTTTTAGTTTAAATAATTTTTCATTTAAAAAAGTTTAAATAATTCATTTTTATATTTGAACATTTTTTTCATTGGGGGCAATATTAATTTTTAGGAACATCTTAATGTATTAATTAAATAAAAACCAAATTTCATTGGGGGCAAGTGCCCCCATTAGATGTAGAGTGGATCCGCCCATGTGGATACCTACTTTTTTGTGTCTTCACTGTTTTGTAATAGTGTTGCACTGCCATACCCGAAGTGATTGTATCTAATATTAAATTTAATCTCTCCTTGAGTATGCATGCAATCAGTGCTTGCAGTCACCCCATTGTGCATCAAGGTTGCATTTAGATACATTTATTGCTTTTCTAGTTGACATGAAACACTTTCTTCCATTAGCCGCCATCAATAGTTACCGATGAGGTATGCACTGCTTGTGATTTCAATCGACCTGGAAAAAATTGTCTCCGGAAGCTGGAATGGGTTTGGCGTGGGGAGACCTACATGGCAAAGAGAAGGTATGCTTTGTTGTTCACTGGCTATTGATTGGCAACTTGATGGAATGTTCCTGATGCTTTCTATCAATTGTTTTTTTGAACTTCAGTGATTACTATCATTTAAGGAGGCAACTTGAGTCTGAGATTGTTGAAAGAGTAGATGGTCAGTCGCAAAAATCCTTTCTTGACCTGCCTAAACTAGAGCAACAAGCTAAGCTGAAAGAGCGCTTAAAGAAATATTGCCAAAAGGTATTTATTTATGCCGTGTCATCTTAGTCAAGTTCCTAGGAAAATCTAAGTGCCTTAACTTTTTATATATTTACAGGCTTATAAAAGAGTACTCAACAAACCTGTTACTGAGCTCCGTGAAGCAGGGATTTGCATGCGTGAAAACTCTTTCTATGTTGATACAGTGCGCAGGTAAGATACTATTTGTCATCTCTTTAATCAAGTCAGTTTGAAATGGACAAACATTTCGGTTACATAGAGTCTGCGAAGGGCTTTACAAGTGTTATGCAATTTGCTGCTTGTCAAAAGCTTTCGAGACAGGAGATATGAATACAAAGGACTTAATAAAGATTGGAAGGGGAAGCTCTCAGAAGCAAAGGCTAGTGGAAATTCTAGAAAGATCCAAGAAGCACAGGTTTATACTAAGGGTTTTCTTTATATAACATGCCTTTGGTTGTGTATGTGTTCACACACTCACAGTCACACGGGTGCGTGTGCATATTTGTTTGCATTTTGGGGTGTGTATATTTGTGATTGAAAAGAAAAGCTACCAGAAACCAATGCTTTTCTTTTTGGCCTTTGCAGGATATGGTTGTTCTTTTTGACTCGTTACAGCTGGCTCACAAATGTATTCTAAATTCCTTCTATGGATATGTCATGCGCAAGTATGTTTAAGTCCAAGATTTCTTCAAAGTGGACACCTAATTTTTCCTCTCTGTTTTGCCTTTTTATTTTTCTTTGCCTTTTGAACTTGTCTTGCTGACATGTTGTTCACAATCAGGGGAGCAAGGTGGTACTCCATGGAGATGGCAGGAGTTGTCACTTATACTGGAGCTAAAATAATTCAAAATGCAAGATTACTGGTTGAAAAAATTGGAAAACCTCTTGAGTTAGACACAGATGGTATTTGGTGTGCATTACCAGGCTCATTCCCTGAGAACTATACCTTCAAGACTAAGTATGTTTTTTGTAGAAATAATTTGTGTCCAAATTCGTGTGGGTGCACATACACACAAAACACAACATAGGTACATATATATCACTGACATCATTATCATTGCCTCAATCCCAACTGGTTGAACTGTTGAAGTTACTGGCACTAAAATTATAGTGCTGATTAGTTGCATAAAATTTATTAGCATTATATTTTCCTGCAAAAGTGCGTAGGTTGTAAATGCTTTACACTGGATGCCCCTACTGTCACAACCTTCATAAGACGGAATGATGATATGAAAATTCTAAAACCATCATCATCATTGGTTATTCCACATGCATGAAAATAGTATTATAAGACGATAATGAGGTGAGATATTTTCTATAGCCATCTCCATCAAATGACACTGCTATTGCAGGGCTAACATGCAATGGAACCTGACTTATATGCTGTGTGACAATTTTTAGAATCTATCCTTGTTTAAGTGCTTGTGTTTTTCTTTGCTTTAGTAATGTTATATTTATCTTTTTTAGTGATTGATATAATAATATCTCTCTGGAACATATATTTCAGAGATCTTAAGAAGAAGCTGACAATTTCATATCCTTGTGTTATGCTTAATGTTGATGTGGCAAGGAATAATACTAACGATCAGTACCAGGTAGAGAACATTGTCTCACTATCTGATTTATCAACTCCTGAAAAAGATTTATTCAATTAAAATAATGCTGTTTTTGTTCTGTTTTGCACTTACGATAAAAATCTATTTTCATGCGTTTCTAAACACTTTTTAATGCTCTGCATTGTGCAGACTCTGGTTGATCCTGTCAGAAAGACCTACAGAACACATAGCGAATGTTCAATTGAATTTGAAGTGGATGGACCATATAAGGTGAAATGAAGACTTTTAATGAGTTAGCATATTCTACATCTATCCTAATAATTTCTATATTGTTTAGCTTGCCATCATATCTAAATATTGGAGATATCAATTGCGATCAGGCAATGATTCTTCCAGCTTCAAAGGAAGAAGGAATTTTGATTAAGAAGCGTTATGCAGTTTTCAATGATGATGGAACACTTGCGGAGCTAAAAGGCTTTGAGATCAAGCGTAGAGGTGAGCTAAAACTCATCAAAGTTTTCCAGGTAATGTCTAAATCTAATTTTTTAACCATGTTCATGGTTGAAACTGCTGTGCACTTGCTCCTTCGTGTTTAAAATTTTGATAAGTTTTAAACATTAGAGGAATGCTATTTGATAAACATTAGAGGAATCCTTTATGTTCATGGCTTAACCCACTTTCTTACAGGCTGAGCTCTTTGATAAGTTTCTTCATGGATCCACATTAGAGGAATGCTATTCAGTTGTTGCTTCTGTTGCAAACCGTTGGCTAGATATGCTTGAGGTATGCCCAGTGTTAAAATCAGTTTTTTTTTATTATTGAAATTGAGGCCATTGGGGCACCATGGTGAAATGACATGTCTCATGTCTGATCTTGTGCTAGTTGCCTAGTTGCCATAGGAAATTTGTAATGAGTAAATACCGGTTAAAAGGTAATTTCTTTAGTTTTTGTGCCCCCGCTCATAGATAACAGGGCAACAACAACAAACCCAATAGAGTCCCATAAGATAGTAGGGCTGGGGAGGGCGTGTATACGCAAGCCTTACCCCTACTTGGAAGTAGAGAGGCTGTTTCCATTAGACGTCCATCTCAACACAAGTAGAATTACTGAAATTTTATTGGCTTGTAATATACTACCATGCCTAATAGAATATCTGATTTGGAGCTTATTATTTTTTGGAACCAAGCACCAACATCAACAGCCCTACACAACTACACAGTACAGTGAAGGAACAGAGAATTATTTCCTCTTTATTTTAGGACTAACAAAAATACGAATTTGGTACTTGATTCGGCCAATACTTTCCTTCGCTGTGATCAATCTGTTGCCATGAATTTTGCTATTCCCTGCTTTCCAAACGGCATAGCAACAAGCAGCTATAAGAGCAGATCCTATTTTCTTTTCAACTCGGTTGTGTTGATCATCACCTTATCCACTTCATTTTTTTTAGGCTGAGATTTGTTTTAATAGCCATGTTAGATTTATCACATATAACTGAATGGTAATGGGTCAATGTTTGGGTCAGTTAGTATAGATTTGGTTAGTATGGAGTGGGTTAGTGTGTCTTTCATATTTAATTAATTAAAAATTAAAAAGCAGTTTGGCAGTTTTAAAAGATAGGTCCTGGTAGTTTCTTAAAGTTGTGTTGGTTTGTAAAAGTTGTGTTGGTTTGTTCTCTATTTATATTTAGAGAACACAAAGAATCCTGTACAGTTCACTACTACAAAATATTGTTATACTTTGCTTTGATCTGATCCTGTCGAGCAATTGGTATTGGAGCGACAATCCAATCAGGACCCTGCGATCAAAGGGAGCAGGTCTGATTTGCGATCAGGGGGTAGGCGATTGACAGCGGGACTGGTCAGATCGTAAAAGAGTGCATTAACAACTTTCTAGACAATAGATCAGGAATCTTCTACTAGATTTCTTTCTCGCCTAGGACAAGAACCGCAAGTGGCTAGTTTTGTTTTCTTAGGCAGAAGTATTCCAACCAAAAGGCGTTGGAAAAACGAATCAGCGGGTTAGCTTTCATTTAGCGGCTTGGAAGACGGAAAAGCTGGGGCCTTGTTTGTGGTTGATGATCGATTGCAGGTGGCTTCCGACACGGGAAGGAATTGAAGTCTAAGAATTTTGTGAAAATTGTCAAAGGAATTAGAGTCATGCTATGGAAGTTAACCTAAACAGACAGATTGTTACTACAAGGAAGAATAGTTCACTTTCTTTTCGGGTTCCAATTTTAACAACTACAAACTACACTATTTGGGTTGTGAAGATCAAAGCAATTTTCAATTGTGAATGGGGTTTGGGAGGTGATTGAACTAGGAACAGAAATCAATCCAAAGAAGAACAATATGGCAATAGTATATCTGTTTCAAGCTTTGCCGGAAGAGATCGTGTTACAGGTTGCTCCATTTACCGAAGCTAAAGAAATTTGGGATGCTCTGACGACTCGCTTTGTTGGTGTTGACAGGGTAAATGAGGTGTGATTGCAGACACTCAAATCAGATTTTGAGTTTCTAAAGATGAAAAACAATGAGTGACTTGATGATTTTGCTCGTAAAATTAGTTAACTTGCAACACAAGCAAGCAACCTTGGGTGTGCATTTGAAGACAAAAGATTGGTTCAAATGCTTTTGGTATCCGTGCCAGAAAAATTCATTCATATTGTTGTTGCAATTGAACGGTTTGCCGACATTAACACAATGCCGTTTCAACTTTCAAGATGTGGTTGGAAAATCGAAAGCATTCGAGGAACACATCAAAAAGCCATCTTAGGAAGGAGATATGCATGGTAAACTACTATTCACTAAAGGAGAACAAATGTGAACATTGTGGTTGCGAGAGCTCAAAACGAGAAGACTTTGGACGTCGCTGAGGCAGAGGTCAGGGATCTGGGAAAGGTTAAGATGGTGGTCAGTTTCAGCGGGATAAGAGTCACATTAGGCGTGTCAAGTGCAACGAGCTAGGGCAATTTGTGAACGAATGTCCAAAATGGGATCAAAAGGAAGACATTGCAAATTTGATTCTAGATGACGATGAACCGACGTTGCTGTGAAGATCATTGTGAACAATCAACGATCAGGGGCGCGATTGTTAGATTTAATCGGGTTTGTTCACATATAATTGAATAGGTAATGAGTTAATGTTCGGGTCAGTTAGTATAGAGTCGGTTAGTATGGAGTGGGTTAGTGTGTTGGTTATGCAGTTTTAAAAGATAGGTCCTGGTAGTTTCTTAAAGTTGTGTTGGTTTGTAAAAACTTGAACATGAAGGTAAAGTGCTCAAGAGACGGAATAACTCTGGTTCCGTGGCAAATAAAGTTAGCTCCTGTTGGAAGTTCTTCCAGTCTACACAAATGAGTGCACTCCTTAAAATCGTTGATTTCTTCCCAAGGAATTGGGTTACCACCAATTCTTAAGACACTATTGAAATCACCTAGGATGCACAAGGAACTGTGAATATAACAACCATATCCCCAATGTCTTCCCAAAGGCCCCTCCTCTTGCCAAGGTCATTTTGACCATATACAAAAGTAAAGTAGAAGATCCTGTCATCACCGACCTTCCTGCATTTACAGTTCAGTAGTTGATCAGACGCTCTAAACTGAGAATAGTGAGTATTGTTATTAATGTAGGAACACCATCCTTGGAACAACCTGCCTTCCACATCTCTAAACTTATTGTCCCTGATTTTGGTTTAACATGCCAAATATCTGCATATCATATTTTTAAACAAAATACATTACCTCAGTTTTTTAGTAGGATAATTAAGCCCCCTAGCATTCCAACATCCTATCATTTTAGGAAGGGATAGTGCCTTCCATACAGGCTTTCATGTAAAATCTTATTTAATCCTCTTTCGTCACATTGACACTTCTAGTATAAGTTTCTTCCCTGCTTTCTTTCCACTGACTATAGTAAAACCATCTTCATTTGAGGTGCTAATGATGTCTTCCTTCCCCATATCTTCGTCTGCCTGTTTATTGTGACCATTCATCTGAAATCACGGGCATCATTTTTGCTTTGATCATTAAAAGTTTTCTTAGCCTTCCAAAACATTCTCCTTGGTGCACTTGCTCGCTGTTTGTTTTCTACCTTCTACCTGCAGTTCTCTTGAATATGGCTCTTCCTTTTGCAATGTGAGCAAATACATGGGTACCATTCGTATGTGACATTTTCCCTGATTTTGGTTTAACATGCCGAATATCCGCATATCATATTTTTAAACAAAATACATTACCTCAGTTTTTTAGTAGGATAGCCCCCTAGCATTCCAACATCCTATCATTTTAGGAAGGGATAGTGCCTTCCATGCGGGCTTTCATGTAAAATCTTATTTAATCCTCTTTCGTCACATTGACACTTCTAGTATAAGTTTCTTCCCTGCTTTCTTTTCATTGACTATAGTAAAACCATCTTCATTTGAGGTGTTAATGATGTCTTCCTTCCCCATATCTTCGTCTGCCTGTTTATTGTGACCATTCATCTGAAATCACGGGCATCATTTTTGCTTTGATCATTAAAAGTTTTCTTAGCCTTCCAAAACATTCTCCTTGGTGCACTTGCTCGCTGTTTGTTTTCTACCTTCTACCTGCAGTTCTCTTGAATATGGCCCTTCCTTTTGCAATGTGAGCAAATACTTGGGTACCATTCGTATGTGACATTTTTGGGTTATTACCCTATCATCTTCATTAACATTGGTGAGTTGTTGTGGAAATTCCTAAAATACTTCCACCTTGATAGAATTTAGGTTGGGGTATGGATCATTGGATTGGGCAACAAGACACTTGAGTTGAACCACATTAAAAGATTGAATCCAAATGATTATTTAGTTCAACTCAAAAGCTTATATACCGATTTATCTTATCTACAAGTTCCGATGTGGGACACTCATGGTAGTCAAGATCGCGATCTGACTCGTACGATTCTACGAGTCTCGAGATCGCCAGCCCTTTTCCGATCTAACTCGCCTTCAGAATCGCGAAAATTCATCGGGTCGGTCGGATCGACGATCCGGATCATGCAATCGCACAATCGCAGGAGATCGGCGATTGTGAAAAGCCCAAAGACCAAAACGCAATTCCAATTCAAATCGCGTCTGTCGCGACTCCCAACGACCAAACTGTAGCGTTTGTCGCGACTCCCAATTTCAATCTCGTGACTCCCAAGTTTGAAGCCGAATTCCAAGTTTGAATAGCCCCAAGTTTCACAACTTGTATTTTATTGCTTTTGAATGGGAAAAGCCCAAGTTTTCAAGACTTCGATTTTGTAGCTTTTGAAAAGCCCAAGCCCAACTTCAACTTGTGTTATGTTTTATATGTATGTATGTATGTATGTATGTATGTATGTATGTATGTATGTATGTATGTATGTATGTATGTATGTATGTATGTATGTATGTATGTATGTATGTATGTATGTATGTATGTATGTATGTATGTATGTATGTT